AGAACCAGAGGTTGTAGAAAACATAAAGGAATCCGTGTTCTCCAACACAACATGGCAGGAACACATGTGAACTCACAGAGTCGGTGACAGAATGAACAAAACCTATGGAAGCTAAAGCCACACAGTGTCCAAGCATGAAGGAGTGGAAGTGCAAACCACAGCACACTCTTAGCCATGAAGACATTCATAATCGACAGCACTGTGAGGACATCAACCTTCAACAGTGGAGTGACACCAGGTACATCAGCCACACTCAGGGGAGGCCTCATGATATAAAGTAAGTGACAACACAAAATGGACTTCTTTGGATTGTATTGTATTTAAATTTTGTTTCCATTTTTCTTCCTAAGTGACAGAACAGTTTAATGTGGGTGGGTAGGGAGGTCACAAAAACCCTGTGAGGAGTTAGGGGCTTCAGTTCCTCACAGTTAGGAGGGATTTGAAATGCATCACAAGGCAATCACCACACACACTGAATTTAATATTTTATATCTTCTCAAAATTTCAAGTGACTGAGAACTACCATAATAACACAGGCAGACAGTTGTGGACTGCTCATGACTGGGCAGGAAGATGAACAGCAGAGAGGAGGCACAAACAGAAGTTTCAGATAAAGCAACCTGATGAGAACTGTGTCCATGGCTCCCTAGTGGCTGAGGGTTGAAGAAGGGTCCAAGTCTGCCAGTGTCTGTAGAGCACACATTGGAAGAAAGCCAAAGAACCAGGTACAAAGCATGCAGAAGATTTGTCTCCTGTGCAGGCAATTATCTCTTCCTGTAATATGTGTTGTGAAATCACCTCTAAAAGTATTTTTTATTATATTTTGTGGGAAACCAGCATCATGAGTAACTGGCTTGCCTCACTAATGTTACAAGTACAAGGAGTTTTTATAGTTCTTGATACTAATGAACCAACCCAGAATTCTAGGGTGTAATGCATGTGCCATTAGAGGGAATATTCTTGGTGTGGTTTTGTACCTACTAAGCAATCACTCATGCATTTTTATACTATTTTTATCTCTATTGACAATTAAAGAAACTCAGGAAACAAGGAGTTTGATTTTCATTGTCAATTCATCGTTTTCATCCTCCGATTGCTCCCTACCACCTTTCTTTTGGAGATTCCTGTTTTCTTTCAAAATCATTGTTTATTTTTTAACTTATAAATATTTGTGTTTCTCTCTCTCTCTCTCTCTCTCTCTCTGTGTGTGTGTGTGTGTCTGTGTGTCTGTGTGTCTGTGTGTGTGTGTGTCTGTGTGTCTGTGTGTCTGTGTGTGTGTGTGTCTGTGTGTCTGTGTGTCTGTGTGTGTGTGTGTCTGTGTGTCTGTGTGTCTGTGTGTGTGTGTGTCTGTGTGTCTGTGTGTCTGTGTGTGTGTGTGTCTGTGTGTCTGTGTGTCTGTGTGTGTGTGTGTCTGTGTGTCTGTGTGTCTGTGTGTGTGTGTGTCTGTGTGTCTGTGTGTCTGTGTGTGTGTGTGTCTGTGTGTCTGTGTGTCTGTGTGTGTGTGTGTCTGTGTGTCTGTGTGTCTGTGTGTGTGTGTGTCTGTGTGTCTGTGTGTCTGTGTGTGTGTGTGTCTGTGTGTCTGTGTGTCTGTGTGTGTGTGTGTCTGTGTGTCTGTGTGTCTGTGTGTGTGTGTGTCTGTGTGTCTGTGTGTCTGTGTGTGTGTGTGTCTGTGTGTCTGTGTGTCTGTGTGTGTGTGTGTCTGTGTGTCTGTGTGTCTGTGTGTGTGTGTGTCTGTGTGTCTGTGTGTCTGTGTGTGTGTGTGTCTGTGTGTCTGTGTGTCTGTGTGTGTGTGTGTCTGTGTGTCTGTGTGTCTGTGTGTGTGTGTGTCTGTGTGTCTGTGTGTCTGTGTGTGTGTGTGTCTGTGTGTCTGTGTGTCTGTGTGTGTGTGTGTCTGTGTGTCTGTGTGTCTGTGTGTGTGTGTGTCTGTGTGTCTGTGTGTCTGTGTGTGTGTGTGTCTGTGTGTCTGTGTGTCTGTGTGTGTGTGTGTCTGTGTGTCTGTGTGTCTGTGTGTGTGTGTGTCTGTGTGTCTGTGTGTCTGTGTGTGTGTGTGTCTGTGTGTCTGTGTGTCTGTGTGTGTGTGTGTCTGTGTGTCTGTGTGTCTGTGTGTGTGTGTGTCTGTGTGTCTGTGTGTCTGTGTGTGTGTGTGTCTGTGTGTCTGTGTGTCTGTGTGTGTGTGTGTCTGTGTGTCTGTGTGTCTGTGTGTGTGTGTGTCTGTGTGTCTGTGTGTCTGTGTGTGTGTGTGTCTGTGTGTCTGTGTGTCTGTGTGTGTGTGTGTCTGTGTGTCTGTGTGTCTGTGTGTGTGTGTGTCTGTGTGTCTGTGTGTCTGTGTGTGTGTGTGTCTGTGTGTCTGTGTGTCTGTGTGTGTGTGTGTCTGTGTGTCTGTGTGTCTGTGTGTGTGTGTGTCTGTGTGTCTGTGTGTCTGTGTGTGTGTGTGTCTGTGTGTCTGTGTGTCTGTGTGTGTGTGTGTCTGTGTGTCTGTGTGTCTGTGTGTGTGTGTGTCTGTGTGTCTGTGTGTCTGTGTGTGTGTGTGTCTGTGTGTCTGTGTGTCTGTGTGTGTGTGTGTCTGTGTGTCTGTGTGTCTGTGTGTGTGTGTGTCTGTGTGTCTGTGTGTCTGTGTGTGTGTGTGTCTGTGTGTCTGTGTGTCTGTGTGTGTGTGTGTCTGTGTGTCTGTGTGTCTGTGTGTGTGTGTGTCTGTGTGTCTGTGTGTCTGTGTGTGTGTGTGTCTGTGTGTCTGTGTGTCTGTGTGTGTGTGTGTCTGTGTGTCTGTGTGTCTGTGTGTGTGTGTGTCTGTGTGTCTGTGTGTCTGTGTGTGTGTGTGTCTGTGTGTCTGTGTGTCTGTGTGTGTGTGTGTCTGTGTGTCTGTGTGTCTGTGTGTGTGTGTGTCTGTGTGTCTGTGTGTCTGTGTGTGTGTGTGTCTGTGTGTCTGTGTGTCTGTGTGTGTGTGTGTCTGTGTGTCTGTGTGTCTGTGTGTGTGTGTGTCTGTGTGTCTGTGTGTCTGTGTGTGTGTGTGTCTGTGTGTCTGTGTGTCTGTGTGTGTGTGTGTCTGTGTGTGTGTGTGTGTGTTGTGTGTTTGTGATTTCTATATATCTATATAATGAAATTCAACCTCACTTCATGTAATGTGTTTTCTGGTTTTATGGTATTGAAAAACTTAGAGGTAAACTCTTCTCTCTTGAAGACTGTTTCTCCTGTTCTGGGCTCCTTAGTTGCCTATAATCCTTTGACTAGAGCTGAGGCCTGGTAAACTCTCCTCCTTCCATGTTAGCCTGTCTTCTGTTTTCATTCTTGTTTGGCTCATGTTTCAAGAGCCTTGTTAGGTAGATTTGATGGACACATCTTCTCTAATATGTATAGGAGACATAATCTCAGCGAAGATTCACTCTTCTTAAGCTGTACACACTCTTTCTACTCTCTCTTCTACAACAATGCCTAAGCCTATGAGGCAGGAGATGCATTGTAGATGCATCAGTTGAGGCTTGGGCTTAACAACTCTGCATTTTATCTGCTGTGGATTTCTGTAATGGTCTCCAAATTTTGCAGACAAGTTTCCTTGATCAGTGGTGATAACAACAATTACTTGGAAGTATGAAGATGAAGAGTTGGAGTGTAGTTAGAGATCATGCTAGTTAGTGGCCGTTAAATGTTTTCCTCCAAGATCTATGATGTGAGAAACCCGGGGTAGTTGACTAGGTTTCCAGCACCAGGCATGATTTCCTTCTTAGAGGTAAGGCTTTAAACAAATGTTCAATCCATAGCATCTCCTAATACAGGTATTCCTAACCTGGATGCCAACATCTTTTACAGAAACCTATGAATACATCTTTCAACATTAAGTTTGAAAGAATTTGAGACACCCTGGCTTGCTGGGACTCAAGTGTTTTCCCTAATCATTAACCTGAACTACAGTCTATGCAGCTAAGGAGGTGAAGCTCATAGGCCCAAGCTGTGTGACACTTCCTTGAATTCATTTTTAATCATCAAAAGTCTATTTAAACTAACTTTATTACTATCAACTAGACAGTTCAGCATAAGAAGAAATCATCTTCATAATAATCCACAGGGAAATATCTCCAGTAGAATGTGACGTTTCAACCAGATAAACACTACATTACAGGCATTGGGGATCTCCCTACATCCATTTACACCATGCCAGGTAGCAGAGGAAGATGGCAGAAGCAACCACGTAAAGGCGCAGTGGAAGCAAAAGACATTTTGGAGTCTGTGGTCTCAGGTTTTGCCTATCAGAGATTCACCCACCAGGGCTTCAGCTCATGGTCAGGTGACACCTGAACTTCTCTTGCCACCTGCTGCTCCTCTGACAGGGCCCCCTGCAGACAAGCAGAAATCAAAGCTCAGCTCCACCTTGAAGTTCAGATTCTCATTCACTCCCCATTGCTGGGCACCAATAGGTAAACGTGCAGCAAAGGAAAACTGAATTAGAGGATAACATAAGAAATTCACAGAGTGTCTAGAAAAGGCTCATGCATGTGATTAGCTGAACACTGGAATTCAGGCATGTCACATGACCTCCATAAAGAACAGGAGTTCCCAAACTCAGGCAGCAGCTGCACACAAAGCTATAGCTATGCAGGGAGTTTTATTATATTCATCAAGGGTGAGGTCCACACAGCAGTGCCAACTCCTACAGAAATAAGCACCACAGAGCAATGTCACTCTGGTTTGTAATCCCAGACATGGAGAATTGAGTTGAAATGAACAAAAAAATGAGTCTCTTGCTTGTAAAAGAGATAATGGGAGAAGCTTATAAAAAGGTCTAACTTAATTCCCTTTCCCCAACATTAACATTATGATCTGATTCCTCCAGCAAATTAACGAAAAACACAGGACCTACTATCTCCAGGCTCCACTACAGAGCTTGCTATAAAGCAGGAAGACATGCAAATGGGCCCTCTCTCTGCTCATGAAAAGCAGCCCAGTCCTGACCTTACAGCTCAGGCAGAGGAGCTCAGCTGTGGATCCCAAGACTTCACTCAGGGATCAGCATGGAGTTGGGGCTGAGCTGCATTTTCCTTGTTGCTCTTTTAAAAGGTAATATATGGAGAGCAGTAGATGCTGACTGTGTGAGTGGACATTAATCTGAGGGACAATGGACATGTGTGATGATTTCTTGACCAGGAATTTTTTTGTTTGCAGGTGTCCAGTGTGAGGTGCAGCTTTTGGATTCTGGGGGTGGCCTGGTGAAGCCTGGGGGATCCTTGAAACTCTCCTGTGCAGCCTCTGGATTCGCCTTCAGTAGCTACTGGATGAGCTGGGTCCGCCAGGCTCCAGGGAAGGGCCTGGAGTGGGTTGGAGATATTAAATATGATGGCAGTACCACAAGGTATGCACCATCCGTGAAGAGTCGGTTCACCATCTCCAGAGACAATGCCAAGAACACTCTGTACCTGCAAATGAACAGTGTGAAGTCTGAGGACACCGCCACTTATTACTGGGCTAGAGACACAGTGAGTGATCTCAGTGTGAACCCAGACATAAACCTCACTGTGAGCCGCTTTCAGTCACCAGGGGGCACACAGCACACACTGAACACAGGTCCATCCCAGGAGATGATGCAGACAGGGTTAGAGGAAGCACCCATCAGGTGTCTGGGCTGCACTTTTTCTTGCTGTTTCTTAGAAATTCTGTCTCCACGTGTGATGTGAAGGGATACAGTTCCTCAAAACATTACATGTTCTCTCTGTACTGTTTTAAAAATATGAAGCACAGTCCCCATAACAAGATGCAAACCGACAGCTATGAGGACATAAAGGACATTAACACAGTCACTGAAATCACACGATAAGGAATTCCTGGACTTTCCTGAGTCCTTTCTTACTCTAGGCAGAGTCTTGTTCAGATTTCTGGATTATAATACTCATAAATTTGTGTTTAGGTGAAAACCAAGGGGAAGGTGGGGCCGAGATCATTACCATCAACCTTAGCAGGTCGGGAACCTTCCCTGAACCTTCCCTCCTCTCCTCTAACTGAGAACTGTGCGCTGTAATCCAGATATGACCCAGCTGTGCTTTTAGCTAACTCAGTTTATTACTGCATGACTTTCATCTCTGTCATCATGGAAATTTGTTTAAACTGATCCCTTTAGTTGCTGAAAGATGTGAATGAGTTAAGGACAGATAAATCCTAGAGATGCATTGTAGAATGAGGCCGGGGAACTGAGATCATGGGTGTGCACAGGGAATGCATGGATTTCTTTGTGTCTGAAGTTATGTTAGGAAGTAGAGAGCCGGGGACTCCCCAGCATTGTGAACGCTGTAATTGTCAGCTTTCTGCTCACATAAATGGTTGCTCATGTGAATTTCACATAAACATAGAACTTGATGAAGATAGAGAATAAAATGACAAACAGTGATTTGAACTGAAATTAATAAACCTATGAATGGTACAGTGAATATATCTGTACACTCCCATTGAGAAAAAAACGAATTTGAATTCTGAATGAGGCTGTGAGTTCATGCCAGAGAGAGATAGAATCACAGAGGACACAAGAGACAAAAATGTCCATTATCTTGTCCTGTGTGAGATGTGGAGAGAAACATCTAATTCCAAGTCTCTAAGCTATGTCACTTACTGTGACAGATCTGTGCCCCCTCAGACCAGAAATCATTTAACATGATGATTGACATTATGAGAAATACTGAAACATCTAAACAGGAGAGATCAATATCTGGAAAGAGCAACAGCTAAATGCTCAGTAGAGGAACTGTTTCACATTGCACAAGAAGTCACCATTGCTTATGTAATTATCATGCTAATAGCAGAAGTAAACAACAATATTTTAAAGCACAGTCTGAAATTATCAGAAAATCATGTAGTTCTGAAGTCTTTTCTTCCCCATTTCCAAGTCATGGATTGGCTCTGAGACAGGACTTTGTTATGGATAAAGGGAGCCATCATGATGCTGTGACCATCAGCCTGGGGCCACCATGCTGCAGGGAGTCAGTGTTCCATCAGGGGGCACGAAACCAACAGTATTCTTGAGCAGGTGCACAGGAGGCCAGAGAGCACTTCCTGTGAGCCCTGGCTTCCTCTCCCAGCCCAGTGTGCAGAAGAAACTGCAGGACCTTGGAGCTGGCAGTTATTAGCTTTAAACATCAATAGTCACAAGAAAAAAGCAGACTGCATTGCTCTTTAACATCACTGAACCTGTGAAGAAATCACAAGGCTCTGTGAGCTGTGACTTTCATCATTCTCTGTGCTTCTTCCCTTTCTCCAGGATGCTCAGCATCTGAAAGAATTGAGATAACTGACCATGTCTCTGCTACAGGTTATGTTTTCTGTTGCTGCTGTTATTAAAGTTTTCAGAAATAGACGGCAGTGTAAACATGAAGCTACCAAGGTTGAATGAATAGAATATCATTCATTCATTGGCAGGAGATTGACAGATTAGTAAAGTCAATGAAATACAACTCTCTTCCATGCAATTACAGACTACATAACTGCCAACCTGTAAATGACACATACTGTCCATTGCTGAATTCACACAGTTCTCATCAGATGTGTTGCCTACTGAGGACCTGGGTCTTCTCATGTTGGCTTCTGTCTATGGTGAGCAGAAGTGAACTTGCCTGAGACATCCTGTGTATCTCATCTCAGACTGGATCCCCCCTGAGACCCATAATTTAAGTCCTCCATCAGAGTCAGATCCTGGTGAGGGAATGCAAATACCTCCTGGCTCCACCCAAGCATATGTTGAAAAGGCAAAGCTGGGCCTGGGTAGTCACTGGTGTGCAGCCATGGCCCTGTTTGCTCCTCATCCCTGCTGCTGATTGTGCCTGAATGTGAGTGCCATTGATTTTTATTGTATGAACTCCCATAATTCACTCTGTGCCAACCTTACCTTAAACTTTTTCCTCCACAGATGTCCTATCCCAGGTTACCCTGAAGGAGTCTGGCCCTGGAGTGTTCCCTCCTTCCCAGGACCTCAGTCTGACCTGCTCTTTCTCTGGGTTTTCACTGAGCACTTCTGGTGTGGGTGTGGGCTGGATCCGCCAGCCCTCAGGGAAGGGTCTGGAGTGGCTGTCACACGTTTGGTGGAATGATGATAAATACTACAACCCATCGCTGAAGAGCCGCCTCACAATCTCCAAGGACACCTCCAACAACCGGGTAACCCTCAAGATCTTCAGTGTGGACACTGAAGACACTGCCACATACTACTGTGCTCGAGTATTGAGTACCACAGAGACACAGCCTCATTTGATAACTGAACAAAATTTCAGGAAGCTTCTCATCTCTTTCCCTTCCTAATACAGGGAGAGAGTTACATCTTTCCTGTGAGCCTCTGGGGTTTCCTCTTCACTGCTTACTTCAGAGCCTGGGCTTCCTGTTATACACCTTCATTCATTTTTAAGATGTTTAGAAATGAGTCTGTCTGTGTTTGGTTATACAATGATTAAGGAAGTGTGGTGCTCAAGCCAGGTGGTTCAAAGCTATCCTTTCACTCTGTACTTTCTCTCATATTCCCACAGGAGGAATTTCTAAATTACTGTAATCTCTCCTTCAGTGAATAATTCCATACTGGGGAGATGGGCTTTACTGGGTAAGCAATCACAAACTGAGACTCTGGTGAAAGGATTGCTAAGGAACCTCTGAGATATCTCAGTCTAGTGCCAAGGCTCTTGGTTCTATCCACAAACTGGTGATAAGGCCATGATGCTGAGGACCCTGGGAAGTTGATCTGGTATTTAACTAGATGTATTCTCTTCTATTGACTGGCATGCATAGCTATTGAAGATATTTTCCATTAGAAGGAGAAGGGCAATAACCAACCTAGATACAAATGCTGTGACTTAAAACGGTGACCAGCCCATGAAATATGTTGTTGCAATAGTGGGCCAAATTGTTGTGGATGTAATTGATCATTCTCTGTTTGGATTTCATGTGCTGTCCATGAGATGAAACCCATGTAGGACACTGCCAAGAAGGCCAAGAAACTGGGTCTAGATACACCATGGCCCCAGGTGAAACCATATGCTATTTTCTCATAAAGGAACATATCAATAAAATTATTCTTAATCATGTGCCCACATAGACACATAAGTCAGGGCCTAAGTCAGGCATCAGCAGAGAACATTCTCTTTTTCCATAAGTGGAAACTGATTTAGACAGAAAGGGACAATATGTAAAGAGTGATGCATATTTGGGCACTCGCTATGAATGGGTAGGCTTCATCAAACCTCACCCTCAGGATTGTGCAAACAATTCAGGGAAAGAGGTGGAAAGATCGTAAGAGTGAGAAGTGATAAATGACTCCAAGGAAACAGTTTCCTGCACTCACAGCAGGACTGATGTACACATGAACTCACAGAGACCGTGGTAGCAAGCACAAGGCTTGCACAAGTTCAAGCCAGAAGGGTTCTCAGGGCTGAGTGTTACAAGTGGACAAGAGCTCCCACTATTAACCAAGAAACTATCTGCAATTTATAACCACTAGAAAAGGAAAAAAAATTGGCCCAATTCAATTAGGCTCACTGGTATATTAATCACACTTCACTGGCTATATTTATTACACCCCATGACCAGGAATTAGCAAAAAGAAAACTTGAACAATGACATTTTGGACAGCTTTTGTCTTATATAACTTTATTTAGGCTTTTTGTTTCATTGATATTTTTGTATGTGTGCATATTTTGGTTTCTGATTTTGTATCCTTGAGAGTATGTGTGTGTTTATGATATACATAGATTGATGATAGTTTCTTGTTTTTTTGCTCATTTGTTTAAGGACTGAGAGAAATAAAGGCTTTAGAGTTGTGTTGTTAGTCAGTGGAGAAGTCTGGGAGTATGTGACAGAGGGTGAATATATTGTTTAGAAATATTTTTCTCAATGAAGCAAATTTAAATAAAACATAATAGAGTCACCCCAATCAGTTATGTATCTATGAATATTCAATATATTATAACATTTGGATAAAGAAAACAAATTTATTTTTTATTCTTGCATGTCCATGTGCAACCTGATTGGAGCGTTTGCAACAATTTCCAGCCAGTTGCTTAACTGCACTACTCTTCCCTCTCTTATAATTTCCTTCCGCCTGCACTGATGATAATCAGGTAGGAATCTATGGAGTTTTCTAAATATCATTGTTCAGACATTTTCTCAGAACAAGTGCAGTGTTATCAGAGATACGAGATAATATTTCAGTTTCCATCAGCTCATTTGTCATTGTCCTCCATGACATCACCAAGACTGTCTTCATGACCCATGTCTCTGCTGTAATTCTGGTTTCATTCCCATTGCAGGTCTCTATGGTTCAGACTTCCTAGACTTGGTCCATTTTCATTATCTCTAAGCAGATTTGTCACTAATAATCTGTTCTGAGAAATACAGACCTGTTTTATCACTAAGTTCTAAATGGTTTTGCCTCTAAAGTCACACAGGTCTTGAGATGTTTCAATATTTAATCATTTAGATCAATATTCTCACTCTTCTGTACAGTCACTCAGTATTTTTATTGCATGAGTAAAACAATGCAGAGTAAGTGATCTACCAGAAACAAAAGTGATTAAATTTGCCAATCAGGAACGCATAGTGCTTTCTTTTGTGTGATTGTTAGCAGATTATCCATGGGATTTCCTTCCTCGGATCATGTTAGAGATTCAGGAGGTACCAAAAGAAAGGCAGGATTAATCTCCTGTACCCCAGAATCCTAAGAAATCTAAATTCTCCATTCCTCTTTCCAAGGTACATATTGGGCTCAGACTTGCACAATTTGACTTTTATCACATGCATTTTTTACACTTGGATCATTCTTGCATTTCCCACGTCACTTTATTCAACAATTAAATGCAATTACTGAACTACATGGTCTGTATTTATATAGACTGCTAAATTTCCAGGACCTAGAGTCATCTTGGAAATGAGTCTTGGGCATGCCTTTAGTGCAGAATTTAGACTAGCTTTGTCCCTGTAAGTTCCTGTGACAGTAGTTCTACAGTAGGTAAACTGAGTTAGGAAGACCAACCTAAGTGTTAGCCACACTGTTCCTATGGGCTGAGATCCAGGGACAAGAACACATGAGATAGGAAACCATGTGTAAGCATTCATCTCTTTCTTATAATAAGTAATATTCCTTGATAACATCATCAGTTTGAGGCCATTTCCAGTATAGGGATGTTAACAGTTGTTAAGGCAGAACCAGAATCAATGTTAACTGGAGAAAGGTGGTGCTTTTTTACTTTATGCTGTATGTCATTCAATCAGTTGTGCTGAGGAATTATTTGTATGAAGAACAAATTGATCTTGTCCTGTAAATGCAAACTTGACATTTGGTTTTATTTGAGAAGTAAGTAATATTATAGTATTTGTGGTCATGCATAGAAAGGCGACTCCATTGAGTACATTTGAATATTTAAATGATTTTATAATCAGATAATGACAATCAACTTTATCAAGATTATCTGAATGTGAAATTTGTCAGCGAATATATTTTTTTTCCTTAAAGCAACTTAATTTTGATTATAATATATCAACTGTATAAAATAATAGATTTCATTGTGACATTTTCATATATGTATGAAATGTATTCCCAAAGCTTTTCAAGCAGGCCTGCTTTTTGACATTTATTTAAATGTACTAAGGAGGCATGCTTATAATTCAGAATATGGTATTATATGTTCAAGTAATTTTGTTTGTGTTGTGGTCCATTGTCCAATCTAATAGAGCATTTGGATCGAGAGTCAGGGTTCAAATTCAGCTGCCTGGAATGGATTATAGAGTCCTTGGTGGACTCAAGACTAGAGAAATAGTGGCCTTGGGAAGAAAAGGCAGTGCAGGAAGGTTGTGTGGCCCTTTTGGAGCTCAGAGCAAAATGGTGCTTGTGTCACTGCCATGGTGACACCATGGCGACATGGTGACTGATGATAGAAAACTCTTCTTCAATGTGTGAAATATTGGGTCAGTCATTCAAGAGAACATAGTTTTTAAAAGAAAATACCTATGGTGACAGTGATTTCATTGCTTTTGCAAAAAATTCAGTATGCAAAAGATTGTCAATTATAATTAATTTTTCTTCTAATGTAGTGAAAAATTTTAAATGAATTTAAAATACACAATTGGTGAACAAGAATTGTGATCAATGTAATTTAAGTAGTTTTAGCTGGTAATCAGTTTCTACAGCACCTAGTCAATGCACCAAGGTCCTCAACCTTGCTGTTTTCTCCTCAGACATAGGTTCATGTTCCTCAGAGTTCTTCAACAAGCAGAGAATCTTTGGGCCCAGGTAGTCACCTAAATGTTCAATTTACTCTGTGATAACTTGACAGGCAAGTGCCTATTTTAGCAATGCTAGCAAGAGAAACCATGTTGGCAAAAACATCTACCAAATACAACATTTATTGAGTATGGGATCTTGACTTCAACAATCCCTCCTGGTAGGAAGCCTTGAATATATACGAAGTCAAAGCAATTCACATAAAGAAACATAAAATGAAGTATCACAACACATTTGAAACTTTAACCCTATGACAAATTTCAATGGAAGGAAATACATTCAACCCATGATCATGCAACTTACATCCAAACAAATGCATCTACACTCTGAATGTGGCATATATTTAGATGTTGCCATGAGCCTACAAGTCACTATTGTGCATGCCCAAGACAAACACAAGAGTCATGTCCCTGGGGCTCATAGTTTTTCTACTCCAGAATGGTCATTTGCTAAGCTTTTAAAACTTACATTAAAGCCTCTGAAACATTTACCAGTCATGACCTGCCTGAGTAAGAGTAGTCTTAGCGCTTGGGGATGGAGAGAGAGAGAGAGAGACAGAGACAGAGACAGAGACAGAGACAGAGACAGAGACAGAGACAGAGACAGAGACAGAGACAGAGACAGAGACAGAGACAGAGACAGAGACAGAGACAGAGACAGAGACAGAGACAGAGACAGAGACAGAGACAGAGACAGAGACAGAGACAGAAAGAGAGGAACAAGGCAGAACAGATGGAGTAGCAGCTTTGAACTGGACCCAGAGCAGTGTAGCAGTTTTGTTCTCTCCTGGATTGTAGTATACTGATTTTGATTCATCAGTTAATAAACCCTAGTGACCCCAGTTGGCTTCCTTGTTATTGTTCATTTAAATTATTTAATTACATATTAACATATCCATCCCCCCATTCCCTCACCCTTCCATCCTTCCATGTTCCCCAACAACACCCCCAAACAATCCATGAACTCCTCCCCAAGGATAGTGAGGCCCTCCACAGGGGACCTTCAAATTCCATCATATCATTCAGGAGTGGGCCTA